ACTGTTAGAGTGGACAGACCTCAGTCTGACTGTTAGAGTGGACAGACCTCAGTCTGACTGTTAGAGTGGACAGACATTGTTATTACATACAGTGACATACAGTGTTATTAATATATGACCATTAAAGGTCTGTGACACTGCAGCATGTCTGGCCAATCAGGCGCAGTAAAAACCCAGTGATATTAACCAGGAGATGAACAGCAGTTTGCTGCAGTATGGATCAGAGCAGTGAAGCAGCTCCACAACGTGCTGTGTCAACAGTATCCAGTTGTGTCTCAGTGTGGACGGGGGTTAGTGCAGACATTACCACGTAAAATCAGACAATCTTGGTTATTCTTTGTTTATTCTTATTCTTTATTTATCTTTTTAATGCAGAAACCACAGTTTTCTGAGGTGAAGGGTTACAATTTGACTGGATGCCAGTCAACTATACTCTTGTCCAAATAACAGAAATGGCCCACATTTGGGTCATTTCAATTTGTATCCAGATAAATATTGTTTAGACCACTATAAATCTGCCCACAGTCCCATATTTGGTCAGGTTAAAACTAGCGGTGTTGTCCCACTGTGGTCCAGTCAAATATGCTCACCAGCATTTGGGAAACAGTGGTTTTGAACCCTATTTAAGTCTCAATATTTAATTTAATTTTAAGTATACATTTCAAAGGCTTTTATTTCAGGCTGAAAGGCCACCAATAAAGACCAGAAACACAATGTTTTTCAGCATTGCAGTGATATTTAAATTCATATATTGATACCAAAACCATCATATCTTTATCTGTCATATGTTTATCTGTTGGGGTCTTATCTGTGTCTCTTACCGAGGCTCATCGTCCAGGTTTGAATTAGCTCCAAACAGAAGCCAGGCCACAGCCTGCTCTGGAGTCGACCTCTTCCCGTACCTGCACAGAAACAGAACATCCACATGTGATGACAACACTGACATTTGTCAGGTTTTTCAAATAAAAACTTGTCACTTCAGTCTCAGATTCCTTATTGCTCACACTGTTTACTTTTCTCTTTCTTTTCTTTTCTTTTTTTTTAATTAGCTCTGTGTGTCTGCTGTGCAATCCAGAAGTCAAGTGTGCAATTATCTGGAGAGGAAAGCAGACTTTTCCAGGTGAGTGCCTGGAGCCTGTGTGCACCCAGGCAAGAAACAGCAAGATAGTCCAACTTCATAAAAAAAAAAAAAAAATCAATAATCTGTACTCACCGGGGAGAAGACACAACTGAGTTTCACTGATTCAAACGCTGAGTGAATTTATTCCAGTCATTTACTTTTCAAACATATGACACATGTGAAGGTTCATCAAAGAGTCTTATTTATGAGGTTAATATGTGGTTTAATGGTGGAGAAAAATCAATGCAAAAATCTATATTCTCTATTTGTCCACTAAAGAAGTGATTCACAAACTTTTCCTGCAGCGCCACCCTTTTGTAGGACTATAGAACTATTGTCAAACAAAAAAACATAAGCTGTGTAGTTTAGTTTATTGAAGATATTTTATGTGGAAAAAAAATTGTTAGAGCTTCATTAAAATATTTATTCCTAAAGCTACTTGTTAGCTATTGTATGAAAGTGTTCTTTTTATAATGTCTTTGTAACCACAACCTAGACTGGAAACCTCACCTCAGATCGATGGATTTAACTCTTAAAAACCAAAGGATGTCATTTACATTTTATTCAGGATGAGTGACTTTTTTTTTTTTACTGATTTTGTGTTCAGTTCTCAGAAATCAGCTGTGATGGTGCATTTACACCACACACACCATGAATTGCAGGAATTTTTAAAATGTTTACAGATTTTTTTTACATTTATTCTCATTTATAAATATATGTCTATATATTAATTAATATAATATATTAATGTGTGAATTAATAATACGCAGTAAACATGCTCTTCTCTTCTCTGCTGTCTTTGTATATTCCTAACTTATATCTCTGTTATGATTTATTTGTAAATTAATTGTAATTTTCTGTACTTTCCAATGAGGTGAAATATGTTTTTGTGAATGTGGGTTATATATAACATTGACTTGACATTCATTTTAAAATCTTAAATACAACCATAATAAAAGGCTCCCTCCAATGTTCCAGTCTTTGAAAATCACTAGACTATATCAATATAAAATAACTATTGAACCTGACCCACCTCTGTCTGGTGATGAGGTTGACATAATGCCTGACAGCTGCGTGGTATTTGGCCCACTCTGCCGGTGAGGCGTTGTTCCCAGGACTCTCCGGCTTGGGAGGATAGGCTTCAGCAAAGCTGCTCAAACACGCCACCAGGCACAGAAGGAGAGCAGAGAGCAGCATCCAAGACCTGAACAGAGCGGCCATCTAAGGACAAGAGGAGGCAGAGAGGCATTGAATGCAACTAAAATGAAAAGAAAAAAGTTATTTCTGTAGTTTTGTCCCTGCGTTAAAAGTCTTAACGGGTATTTCTGGATTGATAACAAAACGTTATACATTCAGAAAGTGAAAGTAAAAAAAAAAAAGACTTACTTTATTTCACTATAATCTGTTGTCTGAACAGTCTCCCGCTTCTGTTCCTCTGGGTTTCTCTGCTCTCGGCTCATACGACTATTTATCCAGTGGGACGGATACCTGACGCCCACCGACCCACACTATACCACGCCCCTTGTCACTTTTATTCCACAACCAGCTTTTTAGAAGAGCTAAGAGTAACGTCTCACTGAGCAGTGTTTCCGTCACAGAACGAGTACCAGGCGATATAAGTTCGAATATTTTATCGCCGGCGTCAAAGACGTCCAAGAATATGATTTTCTAGGACGCAAAAGCCGCCGTTGAATTCTAATAAGTCATTATTATCATGTATGCGCGCCTGCATATATACAGTGTGTACAGGCGTTTTATAGGTAAGACGGTAGGTTTACTCGGTTATTGCCTGTTCAGCACCACAGACAGCTCCCTTTTGGGCTATAGTCAAGTCAAAGGTGAGAACGACGTCAACGCACTGAGACTCATATCAACACAAGTGAACCTTCTCATGGTATATGCATGTTGATTCACTGGGATTCTGGTTGAATCAGCCGTCACTTTTTATATTCAACTTCACACCATGTGGAAGCACATGGAGCAGTGACACAGATGTGACTCATTTGGACAAAGACACTGAGTCCACAAAGACCTGAAAGTCTCAAGAGCTGAGACTGACCGTCTTGTGTGACAGCTCACATTTATGAGGCACAGAAGAACTGGCTGCTGTTTGTCATCGATTGTCATGGTCTGCTGTTCAGTTGATGGAGCCTCTGGGTCATCGAATCGTCCTGCAGACGGCAGGTGTGAATTGGAGTAAGAGAGGCTGAAAATATCTCTGATGTCTGTAAACCTGAAATAGTGTCAGAAATAATAGAACAGCAGGAAATAAACTACTAAAACAAGATTAGTTTATTAGATTAGATTTGTTACTTAGTAGAATACGTTTGGTTTCTTCATGCAGAGGCTTAAGTTGTTTTTATGTCAAGATTTTGTTTTACTCACAGCTTTTTAAAATGTGTGAGGTTGAAGATTGAAGTTTGATAAATGGCAGTAAAGCATGAGTCAAACCGTGGTCAGAAAGTAGCAGGAAATTGCCTCTGAAATGTGATTTGGTAAAGAAAGAAATAAAGTAAAGCGTCAATAAACATCCTAATTTATATAGTTACATGTCAAAACAAACAAAAAAAAGCAGCATCCTCCAACTGCAGGTCTTCCACAGGCTAAAACGCCAAGGAACAGCTACTGTTTAAGGACAATTGACTTAGATTTTGTCATTGTAACAATTGTTAAGTTAATCACAATTTTTAGAAGAAAAGAAATTCTTTACCACAAAGCCTTTAATCACCTCATCTACTTAGTTCCCTGTTGCTCTCCATGGGAACATCATGTATGTACCACATAGACACATAAAAAATGGTTGCTTCTCTGTGATCAAATCCCTGTCAGAGACTTGATTTGAACATAAATCCACACCGACAGTAAAGATGCTGCTGCTGCTGCTGCTTCTGACAGTGAACAGGCAGTTAAAGTATATATGACTTTGTGGCATTACACCGAGATTACACTGTCCATTTCTGAGCAATTATTGTGTCATAACTCAAACTGATATTGACGGATGATTAGCATGCAGACTTGCAAAAATGTCCAAAGAGATGCAAAATAACATAAAATTGGACTACAACAGTTTTGACGACCAAAAGCTTTGGGTTGCAGATGGGGAAATTGCAGAAATATTGCACTTAGATGGAAGAAATTGCCTTGAATTTGAGGATCCTGTGTTCTAATCACACATTATCAGGAGCTCATGGTGGCTGCTCTGAACATTCTGTTAGTTCTACTCCACTAATCCACCTGCTTGTCAGGCCATAAAAGTCAATAGCAAGAAACAACAACGTGCACCAGACGCACTCATTAACGTGGTCCGGTGTTTGTGGGCAAGCACCCAGAAAGTAACAGCCTCCAGATAAAGACACAAAGAGCAGACATTCTTTACAGTCCAATAAATCCCAGCCAATGCTCTCCACAACTGCAGTTTGAGCTCCTGCAGAAAAGAGAACGCAGGAGGTGTCACCAGGAGGAGTTGTTAAGACCTGCAGGTGTTCACAGAATCTCTAAACTTTTTCCTTTCAGCATAATTTGATTTTTAAGTACGACCAACGCCGTGGCTGCTGCTGATGAAGGCGGTGGATGTTTTAGAAATGGCAGGTCCTGAAAATGTACTTACTGTACCTGAACACTTTAAACGCAGCCCTAAAAGCTCAGCTCCCAAACCACATCTACCTCCATCCCAACATTTACAACACACATAAAGCAGCCTTTTACCAAATATAAAAGCAATGATTTCACACACACACACACACAGATTAACGTCCAGTCTGGTATAAGAGCAATCTCCTGGGAGAGCGTCTAACTGCTTCCTGTCATCACAGACAGAAAGGGGGGAAATGATGATGCCTTTTTACTTAGCCTTATCTCCAGAGTAGGGGAGCCTTGCTAATATGAACAGAGTGCTTTTCATGCAGCAAAGTCTGTTTACACAGCTCAGGGGACAAAATGGGGTCTTTGATGGCTGCTCACTGCCCTCTGCAGAACACCTCATGGGCATAACTGGTCCTGAAAGGGGCCAAAAGTGTCAGTTCATTGTTGTACTCTTGATAGGGAACACAAAGAAAACCAGGGCCTGGAAATCAATGACAACAACAAATAATCAAAAAAAGTACTCTCCTGACTTTGGCTTCTTTGACGTCAATAATGGCCCATAATTGACTGATATTGTTTTTTGAACAATTGTACAGTATATGCCCTGTATACGTGTGACCATGTTGGAAATTAAAGTATCACAGCATTTACTAGCTGGTGTATGTGGCACTTGTTCACACATAAATGTTTGTTAATGAAGGAACCAAAGGGAAGCAGGATGGAACTTTGACCCTGCACCAGTTAAAAAGATAGCATCACATCTGAGTCTGCATTTTTTAAATCATAGAAATTATACTCACCAACCATGGGACTTTGGTGAATATGTGAATCAGCACATTACAGCGCAAACAGCTAATGCTGCCTGTTATGACCTGAGGCTCCCTGGGGAATGACCCTGGATCTTCTCCCATTGGATGTTAATTACACAGAACACTGTGTTTCTTGTGGTTCTTCATCTCTGAACGAAGAAGTGGCTTCATGAACGATCTCTGTGCATAGCAAAGGCCACTAAAAAAATCAATTCTTAATCATTAAGGGCAAATGAACAACATACAGTTGAAGTGTTTGTCCATCGACACAGTTGCTGCTGAGAATCTTTACAAAGATTTTACACTGGATTCAATTTCTAGATGATGAGAAAGCTGTCGAAAATCCGTTTTTCTTTTTTCTCTTTGTTTCTCACCAGCAGGAAACACAGCCTACAGTTTTATTATCCATCATTTTGACTTTGTGGCTTAAAGGCCTGTGTGGAGAGTGAACCCATACAGGAGAAGAATCTTGGTAAAAAGCAATATGTTTGGAGTGGCCTGAAAAGAAAGGAGAAGAATAAAGGCTGATCGTTATTTAAACTATTTAAACTAAAAAAACATACACAAAAACAAATAAAAACAAGGTTCCCACAGGTTTATATGCTAATGATACTGGCAAAGACTTTGACTAATCCAATAAAAAAACAGGAATTGGGATCAAACTGAATTACAGAACTCATGGTGAACAATATTTTAAAGGTAAAAGGTCCAGAAAATAAATTAGTTGTAATAAGCAAACATTACACACCAACTGCAGCAGGATGGTGCAAACATCATCATCCCACTGATATCCCTGTCTAACCTGCTGGCCATCTGCATTTCCCTTTAAGAGTGAGATGAATGCTGTTAATCATGGGAGCCCAGTGCATCCCCCCAGCACCGGCTCGTCTATCTGTAATAAAGCGCTCTGCCCGACCCAGTAATTACACTCATCTGTCTCAGTCCTAACAGCCAACACTGGACTGTATGAAACCTACACTCGGAGCCAACATTCCTGGCAGCAGAAGACACACATAACTGAAGTAAAGAGCATCAATGGTGCGCTTGAAAAATGGGCCTCAAAAGTATGTAAGTAAGAAAGAATCAAAAGTAAAGGAATCCCCATATAGATGTAGATCAGACTGCAGCTTATTGGTCAAGAGGTCTGCTGTAAAACATCAATAATGTAAAGTCAAGTAAATTGACAATTACAGGAGAGAAGATGAAGCTGCAGGCAGAAAAAAATCTAATGAGTAGAATATATGCTCCTACATCCAGCCAAGAACATCAATGGCTGTAACTTCCAGCAGTATGTTTTTTTGATACGTTATTTTTTGTTTCTTTAAGGTAAAGCTAAAACTAGGGTATGTTAACAACAGATGGATTCTAGGAGTGCAAAGATAATGTTTGAAAAGAATTGTCAAATCAGAGCAGGAGTTTAGTGCTCTATGATGTCTGTCCTAACGGTATGTACGAATCAATGACAAAGAAAAAGACATCACAACCACTCAATGTCATTGAAGATTTTTTCACTGCACTCTCTCTTCAGCACTTCGTGTTTAACTGAAATTTCACATCTCAAACATAAACATTACACATGGCCTGGTATGTATTATCCTCAAACAAATATTACATAAAACGGAAGAGTCTCCAGCATAAGAAAAACACTTAAACTTAAAATTAACTGCACATTAATACAATAGGACATAAGACTAGTCCTGTCACACAGGTGTCTTGTCATGTTCTCATGATCAAAGCAGCTATGAACTGTGGGTAGAAACTATAAAGAAAAACTCATCACAGTCTAACACTTGAAAACCAGGCCTTCATTTAAATTTCACTTGTGTCTTTCTGCAGCAGCGTGTCCACCATTTTAGGAAGAAAGGCCTCCAGGAAGTGGAAGAAGTCCTGGAAAACTCCTGTCTTGTCGTTGGTGGGCTCCAGGTTGAGAACAGCTTTGGTGCTCTCTGTCTCACCTATCATCTGAGGCTGGACCTTAAACTCCAGAGGCTCCTCCAGCTCTGGCTCCTTCTCCACAATGCGAGCTGTGACCTGAGTCTCCACCTCCATACAGCTGCCCTCCGGCCGCGAGTCAGCGCCTCGACTCAGCTCCTTCCTCACTTTCCTCCTGCCGACCCACACCACGTGCTTCTGCACACAGGTCCAGTAGGGGAGGTTGGGTTTTGTCCTTCTGGACAGCCTTGGTCTTTTGTCCTGAGGTGACATAGAAGCGTCATCGTCATCAGTGGACAGCGGCCTCTTGATGCCGACGACCGCTACAGTTTCCTCCTGGGCTTCAACACTGCTGTAGCTGTCGTTCAGTGAAGTGTTGAGTGAAGACGTTGTAGTTTCCATCTCCTCAGAGGCCTTAACAGCCTGTTCATCACCAATGCTGACAGCTAAGAACGGTGTAATCTGACACCTAAGGACGTTTTGGAGAACTCCCTCCACAGCAGCACAAACTTTCCGAAACCAGAGCAACCGAAAACTGTCTCCAGCAGCATGCAGCTGACTGCGCAGGTTTTCAGGGAGTGATGCTGATTTAAAAGGAATTTTAATGGTCAGTGTCTCTGCTTTAGAGTGTGAAACATCCCCTTGGGGGGTGAATAAGCGCAAAAGGCCCCACGACTTCCCTTTGGTGGATTTGTGCTGGTACTGTAGGCTGCGGCAGTACTTCTCAGCCTCCTGGCACTCCTTCTGGAAGGAACGCTGCGAGCGTTCGTTCAGGTTCCCAGCTACGTTATGGCAGAGTTCAAAAGGATCCAAGACATTTAAAGGGCCCAGTCTGGGACGGTGAAGAGGAACTTTGTTGGGTGGTTCCTCTTGCTCGGCTGCATCCCCTTTGTTTTGGTTGAGAAAATCTGTAATAGGGTGTGAACATCCCTCTCTTAGAGATAAGACCCTACCTGCAAAGTCAAATGTAGCGTAGAAGGAGAAGAAGCCGGAGAGCAGCGTGCCTACAGAAAGAAAACACACAAGTCAGCTGCTGAGGTCATTTCACATTTCTGACCTTTCTGTCGATCAGACTTGAACTCACAGAGGTTCTGTGGATTTTTGCTGGGGGGAACTGCTATAGCTTGAGTAGGAAAGGTGCAGTCCCAGCCATCGACCACACACTCTTCCTCCTCACCTGCAACATCAGACACAGTTGACTGTATGGGCGGTTTTATGTTGATGTTACACAGACAGGCAATCGCATAACAATTAACCTGGTCACATTCACTGACAATGCAAGAATCCTTTTTTTTTCAGGAAATTTGACATTTTCTTTTATTCATGGAAATCAGTTGTTCTATTTCCAGGTTTTCCAGGGACAACTATAATTATGTTTCAAATCCCCAACCTTGTGAGTGAACCACCCTTTACCCACTAAAACATGCATGAAACTGACACATGTGTTATCCAGTCAGAACTGTGTTGAGACTCAGACTCTCAGCCAGTTTTGACCAACACTTCATCTCACAGCAGCTTCATCTACAGTCAGGAGTGTGTAGCACTTACAGGCCATGTCTTTGAGTTGGTCCACTGTAGGGAGGACAGCAGGTTCACAGTTCTGCAGGTAAAAGATGACCAGCAGCGTCAGAGCGTAGTTATTGAGGAGGGGGCCAGATCCACTGGGGTTACCTGGACGTAAAACAGGAATAGTGTGGGTCCAAGGGAGTGGGTGGTTTGAACCAATACAGCCAGAAAATTGACAAATGTTTCTCTTTCAATTGATTTATGAGATCAGAGATTTTTCTTGTGTCACATCACAAGTTTCATTTTATTATTGACCACCTAATCCTCTGCAGGGTCACGTGGTTAGATTTAGTTCAAATTAGAGCTGTCAAACAAACATTTTCAACCTGATTAATCACAGGATAGATGTATATCAATCATAATTAATTATAATAAATTAACATTCCAAACAATATTTATTTTTCTGTACACTGCTAGAACAGAAAGACAAAAAGAGCAAGTGGATGTAAGAGTTTCATTTGTGACTAATTCAAGTGATATAATTGCATGAAGAAAATGACAAAATTAAGTTAAAGTTAAGTTAAAGTCTAAAGGTTAATATTGTTGTTCTCAGAAATATCTTGCATCCATTTGGCAAGTTTGTCATTCAGCATGTCAACTGTAGACTGACTTAGTGCTAAATACCATCAAAGCAAATAATGTGATAGTGGTTTCTCTTTGATTGGTGCATGTTCTGAAGACTATGACCTGAAGTTAATTAGTTGGTCTGGTAGTTATCCAGAACCTTTCAACAGTGTAGATGCTGCAGCAGCTGCTTCTACAGATATGTACCTCATACTCTTCAACCAGGCAGTAAAACTAATCAGTGGATAGAGAGAAACAACTACCTCGACATTCACACACTTTCAAGTCAACAATACTGCAGTCCTTCCCATTATTAAGCTTTGAAAGCTATATAGCCGATCAAGTTATTTTACCAGCCAGTTGTTTCTGCTTGGCCCAGTAACGGATGGTGTACACCAAAGGTCGCAGCCTTTCCTCCACCCCTGAACAGAGCTGGAGGAAGCGCGTGTTCCTGACTGCCAGTCTAGTGTGAGGGGAAGGCAAAAGTGTCAGTTTTCCAATTAAACCAAAGACACCATGTGACCTTCAGTGCTGTAGGTTACTGCGGGCTGACCTGTTGTTAATGGTGATGTCTCCCTGAAGATTCAGCTCCTTGTAATGAAACTTAACCACAGGAAGTCGAGCGCTGCTGACCACATTTACTTTGTGCACACCGGGAACACACCGCTTCAGAATCATTGCCACCAGGTCCAGGACCTCGGCTGGAGACGCTGTGGCTAAGTCGATGTCAGAGAGAATAGAGTCTTCAGAACGGCCGTCGTCTGACATGCCCTCTGTGGGCTGAAGAAACACAGTGGGGTAAAAAGAAAGTGAAGCTCTTTTGGAGTGAGGAGTCAATCACCATATGGATAATCCTACCCGTTCTGTGGCGGTTTTGGCACGGGCCTGGAACATCTTAGTATTTTCCAGGTCCAAAAACAGGTCCAGGTCGCAGGAATGAATGCCAAACGTGTTGACAGATGAACCGAAAGGCAGAATTTGACTGTCTGTGTACCATTCCAGTGACACAAAAATGTACACAAATTAAATCATCTATAAAATACTTGACACAGGATTATACCATTTTATAGAGCTCACCAGGAAAAAACTCAACAAAAACCTCTTGCAACAGTTGAACCAGTAAATCTCGAGCCTTCTTTTCATTCACTGACAGCTGAAATCGCTCCACAACAAACTGCATCTGTGCATCCACCTTAAAATGAGAGGACAGTGGTGTAAACAGAATTTCTGCCAATGTTTCGTACAAACTTTTAACGTTACTGAAGAAACTGCATATTGATTTGAAAGCAAAGAAGAAAAACAGGGAAAGTGAACAAATGTAATGAGTAAAAAAGAGACTGGAATGTACTTATTTAACTGTACCATCACCACTTACACAGACCAGGACTTAAAACATCATCAATGAGAATGACTTACAGATGGCAGCTGACAGAGTTCCGGTCTGAGACGGTTAAGAACTTGCTGGAGTTTCTCTGAGTCACCTTTCTTCTTAGGAATTAACTTGAACTCTTTCTTCTCTCTGGGTTTGACTCTCAGCTTCAAGCCCTTCATTTGGTGTTCCATACAGGCCAGGGTGGCCTGTACGCCTTCTGTCTCACTAAACTGTACGATGGCATACACACCCTGTGAGGTCACAGAGGCACAAGGCCAATAATGAGTGATTCCAACTGGAACATTACACTGTTCACAATTTGGTTTTTATTAGTAGTTGATAGGACAGGTTAGTTTGTGCTTCTTTGTTTTTTCTAATGTGTGTGATGCTTTTAGTTGAAGCGTGGTGAGAATGGATGTGGATATGGTATGTGATTATTGGTACAGTGGCTAAAGGTAACAAGGCGTTGGAGTGAACAAATGTTATGACAAGTTTTTCTCCAAGTAGGTCTCCCACAAAAGGTTTTATTTGGGCTCACTAAAGTTACTAGTTGGGAGTTAAATGGGTTAGACTAGAACACAATACACTTTAAATGTCCCAAACTTGTGTTGTTGCATCACTGAACAGTAGTTTCTTATTCTTAAAGCACTGATTGGAGTTCCTGGCACATACTTTAATATCTTGCAGAATTAAGGTGTGGTATGTCACGTTGTTGTTAAAGAAAACCCCGAAAATGTATGTAAAAATGTATTGTGATAGTCTCTCAATAACAATCATGCTTATTTGTTGCTAACTGTAACAATTACAACACTTAGATCAATTCAAACATCGTCCTAACCTTGTCCTTATCCATGATAACATCCGAGACCATTCCAAACTGCTCAAAGTACCCAGTCAGCTCAGACTGAGAGACTTCAGGTTTGATGCCACTGACGAACACACTGTGCTCCTCCTGAGTCTTCCTTGTGCTCCTCACGGAGCGTAGGGTCTGGTGTTTGCGTCCCTTCACATGTTGATCCAGGCTGGGTACTAGTGGACACCAAAATATGAGTAGTACTTGTAAAAATGGCGACTGTAATGTCTGGTTAACAAACTAAATAAGTTTACACAATCATATAAACGTGCTCTCCTAGCTTAGTGTTGTTAGCTTGAAGGCTAAACTTACCGTTTGGCAAATTGACGTTGCACAGAATACAGTGAAAGCCCTTTGGTGTCGTTTCAATGTCAGTATTTTGTTCCATTTTATTAATTTATATTATACCGATAAAGAAGACAATAATAAATATTGACATAAGGCGACAAGTTCGACGCTAACCGTCGAACACGCGTCTCTCAAATTTCCCTCCACCAACGTCAACTTCCTGTTCGCTGTCAGTCCGTCTCTCAAATAGTTCCAGATGGGTCTTGCGTTGGCTGCCGTCGGTTCCTGACCTCCAAATTAAAACGTATTAAATAGCTTCCGTAAATAACAATATCAGTCGGTTTATGTTCATTCTAAATATATGGAATATATATATATATCCATATAAAAATATATTATATGGAAAACGTGAAATAGATGAAATACTAAGACTCTTAACTTTCATATATTTTCCAAGTATTGTTTAATAACTATAACCAGTATTGAACTAGAATGTTCCTATTCTTTGAATATAAAATTAACAATACGTTGATACCTTTAGATTTGAAACTATCCAAAGAGTAATAACAGGTTAAAATATGTATCATTTATATATATAGTCTGACATTTTAATTAAAATCATGTACCAAGAAATGAGTTAGATATCAGGAGAGAACAACAGACTAATGTTAGGAACATCATAGAATGCCAAGAAACAGATGGAATACTAAATAATAATAATATTCAAACACCATTTTTTTCATTGTACAAAATTTTTTAATCATGTATCCTGTAAAAAGCTGCAGTATTATGAATGAATAACATACAACTTGTCAAAAAACAATGGTTCATACAAGTTTCCCTGCCGTTTTAAAACGAGTCAAAGGGGGTGGGGGAGGGGGGAAGACAGTGCTTCAAATTCAAATCAAGCCTTTAAAACTAAGATTTAAAATAAAACATACACAAGTAAGGATAAAGATAATGTAGAGAATATATACACCAATGTCATCATTTTCTTGCCGATCTTCCTCTTCTGGTTTGCGGCTGTATCTCAGGTTCAACATGTGTCTTGGGCTTCTCATTGACCTTTGCACCTCGTCTGGCTTTTTTCATGGGTTGAACTTCGACCACTTCACCTGAGAGATCCTTCTCTTCAGATTTGCTGGTATCATCTTTCTTTTCTTGCTCAACTTGGTCAACAAGCTTTGTCCTTCTGCCTCTAACAGGCTTCCCGGGTGTTGATTTGGGAATGTCAAAGACTTCCATGTCCACCTTCCAGCGAACAGCTCTTTTGTTGGTTTTGGGGTCTTGAGGATCAGCAGCATTTTTAGAATCATCAGGGAGATCTGGCAGGTCATTGCTCACCAGTGGTTTATCTAGTCTGAGTTTTGTCACTGCTGCTGCTACTCTTCTTCCTCTTTTTGGAAGCTCCACTGGGTTTGACACAGGTGAGGAGGGCTTGAGTGTGGGTTCTACGCTGGCCTCCTTAGCAGGGGCAGCAGTAGCTCCTCGGCGTGCTCTCTTGGCTGGATTGACTTGTGAACTCTCATCTTTGATAGATGTTTTGACTCCTCTTCTCCTGACCGCTTTGGTAACTGGAGTATCTGGTTCAATGGCATTTTCAGCTTCTGGCAGGTTTTCAGAATTCTCCTCCAGTACCTCAACAGTGGCTACATCCTCTTCAACAGTCACTCCTCTCCTGCCCTGTCTGGGTTTCCTGGACTGGACAGCGGGAACCTCTTTTACCTCAATAGACTCTGAGATTTCATCATCATGGCATTTCTTGGCCAGTCTTCCTCTCCGTGGTTTTACAGACACAGGGATGATCTCCTGTGGTTCTACAGCAGATTTAACTTCAGCCTCCTGAGGAACGACTACTTCAGCCTGGATTTCTTTTCTTGGCTCAACATCATCTTGCTCCGTCTTCCTGGTTCGTTTCAATTTCTTAATTGGATCATCAGTAAAGGATGACCTGGCCAAATCGGTGCTATTTTTCATGACCTTTTCTTCCTGCTTGGCATTTCGTCCCCTTGTTCTGACTGAAGGCTGCGACTCCTGCTTCGTCTTTACAACAGCTGTGATGTCATTTTGTTCAACAGCATCACATTGTATCTTTCTCCCTTTTCTGGGCTTCTTAGTGACTGTTGTGTGCTGAGGTTCTTGGACGACGGGCTCATCAACCTCAGTTTTCTCTGGCTCTGTCTGAGGCAACTCTGATGCTGGTTTTTGTTTTGTTCTTTTCTCTCTGACTGGTCTCACTGGTGCCATCTGTGTAAATTCATTTTCCTCTTGAGTGGCATGTGAATAAATCTGATCAACCTCATCTTCTGTTTTTTCTGGTTCTGGCTGTGGAGGCTTAACAGATGTTAGTTTTGCTTTTCTACCTCGCGTAGGCTTAACCACAGCTTCCTTTATGACAGAATCATTTTCTTCCTGACTGACATTTCCCACAGCCTTAAGTTCAACCATGTTTTCTTTCTCTGTCTTTGGTGGAACAGAAGGTGTCTGTGTAGCTTTTCTCCCCCGTCTGGGCTTAACAACAGCATTTTCTTCTGTCTTGTTTTCCTCAGCTGTTGGTTGGGTTTCTGCAGATTTCTCTGGAACAACTTCAGAATTGTCATTGGAGTTGGTTTCTTGCAGCCTAACTTTCCTTGCTCGTGTTGTCTGACGAGCAGCAGGCAGCACCACAGCTTCAATTTTCCTCCCTCTTCTTCCTCTGACTGAGGCAGTGATGGTATTGTCTTCCGACATGTCTCCTCCCTCCTGTTTAATTTCGGGCATTTTTGCTCTGGTGCCTGGACCAGATTTTTTCTGAACAATAGATGCATCCTTGTCAGCCTCCACACTAAATAATGTCTCAGTTACTGGGACCTGTGCAGCTGTTTCCATGACTTCTGATAGTTTGTTGTCATCGTTTCCTGTGGGCACTACCTCCACCAAGTCATCACAAAGATCAGTTGCACCTAAAAAAAAACAAAAAAAAAAAAAAACAGCAGAAGATAAGAAAAACAAGTCTCAGAAATAGGTCTGCCAAAAAATAAGAAGAAAAATACCATATATGAAATCAGAAAACAAGTTAGACACAATACCTGTATTCAGGTCTCTCTGCTCTGGCACATACTCATGGATTTCAGGATGCTTTATTTTTCTTCCTCTTTTTGGCTTTGAATCCAGTTTCTCCTCAGGAACCACATGGTCATTTGTAGGAGGGTTGTCTTCCACCGGGAGGTTCTGTTCTCCCTCGGTTTCCACTTCCATCTTGTTTCTAGCCTCTTGCACCATTTCAGCCTCAAGTGCTTTTTCGGCATTTCTCCCTTTTTTAGATTTAATCAAAGATTTCGGGGTGAATTGTTCCACCGCAACCTTGATTTCCTGGGTCTCAGTCTTTGCATTTCTGCTCCTTGTTGTTTGTCTGACAGTAGATGTCACTGTGGCTTCAGGTTTTTTTCCCCTCCTTCCTTTGACTGTAGCAGGTGCTTCGGTGACTTCAGAGCCTAGGGGTATGCTACCCTCAGCTTCGTTGGACTCGGCAGCTCTTGCTCTCTGCCCACGAACAGGTTTCTTCTCAGGGGCATTCTCCACCACTGGACTCATCTGTGTGACAGTATCAACACTTATCTCCTCTTCTGCTCGTTCCTCAGGTACATTCAGAATTTCAGCAGCCTCAATGGGTTCTTCCACAGGGACACTATCAACTACGGTGGTGCCCAAAACAGTTTCTTGGGCAGGAGATGGTTCGCAAGCATCTTCAGGCAACATCTCGCTTGTTTGATCAGAAACTGTAGCTTCTGAAGTGATAACAGAACATTGTTATTTAAAACTGCAACTGTCTGACCTTGACATATACAAAATAGATAATCCTTCTTACCTTGGGGAATGTCTACACCACAATTTGGAACTGCCTGATCTTCAAGCTGTAAATGTAGAGTCAAAAGCAGCAGAGGTAAACATGTGACAATTTTTATTTTTTTTACACGAGTAAAAGTCCAGTTAAAATCTTGTGCGTGTGCTTTTAGTTTTACCTCAACAATGATTGCTTCTGCACGATCAGAAAGTGGTTCTTCCATAAGCTGTTGAAGCCCCTCAAAGTCCTCCACCGGAGCATTACCCCTCTGCTTGGGTGACTTCACAAGTCTCTTAATGCCAAAGTTGTCCTCCACCGGTTCACCTTTTTGTCTGGGAGTTGTCAAGATCCTCTTCACACCAACCATGTCTTCGACTGGAGTACCTTTCTCTTTTGGTGTTTTCATTATTCTCTTCACACCTGTCAGGCATTCCATTTGAGTAGCCTTCACATTTGGTGTCAACATGTCCATCATTTCAGATGCTACTGGACTCATACCCTCAGCCTTGGAAGCGTCAGGAGTCTCGAGTTTTCCTTGAAGGTCTTCTAACACTTTGTCCTCCCACTGAGGAATGTCAAAGATTTCTTTAACTCCAGTAAGGCAATCCCTTGGTTCAGGTTTCTGTTTGGGTGTGACTAGAAGTCTCCCTCTGATGTCCTCCACAGGCTCGATGGTGTCTCTTGGGGTCTTCATGATCCTCTTCACTCCAGTGAGGCAGTCTTTTTGTTCAGGTTTCTGCTTAGGAGTCTTCAAAAGTGTACCTCTCAGATCATCCAAGGGTTCCACCCTAGGCCTTGGAGTCAGAAACAGTGGCTGGTCTGGTTTCTGTTTTGGTGTTTCCACTGGACCTTCACCACTTTGTGGGTCACTTGATTCTTCTTCAGTCTCCAAGACCAGAACGTCATTAACAAAACTTGATTCTTGCTCTTCTTTCAGGAGGCGTTGAACTGCTTCACTGGTAAATCTTCTGCCTCTACCTGTGGATACCACACTTAGAGGCGACACCATCATTTCCCCTGTCAAATAAATTACATTGTTTACATTCCATGAGCATAGGTTCTCAAATTCCCATTTGAAAAAAATAAATTTATTAATTAATCCCTACTTTCCAAATCCAGGGCAACATATTTATCAATCAATCAATGGCAAAAACCTAAACTAATATTAGAATTTTTGTTTTACACATTATGTACAGTAACAAACTAAGTATTACTGACACACGGTACCTGGTTCTTCTGGGGTGTTCAGAACCGAGGGATCAACTACAGGAGTGCTCGGAAGTCCTTTTGGTGACTCAGTGAGACTCTTGTCCATTATAGACTTCCTCTTTCTTCCATGTGCAGGTGTTTTGAACATCTCAGAAATTCCTAAATTTCATTAAAATCAAATATTGATTGTAAGAAAAAAACAATTTAATATGTACTGGTAAGTGCAAAACTGAGAACTAAAAACTAAACTGTTACCTGTCAGATCTTCATCCATCTTCATGATCTTTTTGCCAAGTATAACATTGGTGACCATCCTCGGTGCAGCACCGGTTGGCTGGACAACCTGGCGTTTGTGGGCTCTGCCCACAACAATTGTCATGGGGGAGTCGGCGTGTCCAGTGCTGACATGGTCCTGGAGTTTTCTTGCTGGTGTCTAAAAATTTAAAATAAGTTATTTTACATGTGTTCATCACTATTACTTTAGATTAACTTCAACAGGAAATGTTTTGGACTCTGTGTGAATATTATTTAATATTAATATTATTTATTCATTCAAGAACTTTACCTGGGGTTTAGGTTTTGGACTCTGTGTGAATATTATTTAAGGACCATTCAAGAACTTTACCTGGGGTTTAGTTGCAGCCTTCCTTGTGGGTTTTTTAACAACCTGTTTTTTAGCTAGAGCAACTGCACTGGTCTTAGCTTGTCCAAACTTAACAATGTCTGCAAATGAAGTTTTAACTAAAAGGAGAGAAAAGATGGACAGGGTAATAAATTAAATCAAAGTGACATTGTTCTTTTCAAATGATTCACATTTTTTAAAATTCAGGCACTACATACTTTTCATAGAGGCCCGTGAAATTCCACTTCTCCTCATAACTTTCACAGCACTTATGGAAACAACAGGTGTCTTCTTTGTGGTGCTCCTCATGCTCTTCCTCCTCGGAGTCACACCGACTGCTGGCATTTCTTCAGGGGCGGCATTTTCACTTACTGGAGATGGAGTGCTGATGCGTGACACAGAGAAGCGGCCTTGCACCGTGGGTGTGAAGGTGTCAGGATTAACTGGGGTTTTCCCCGGTGTTGCCTGGCCTGGAGTTTTAGGCTGTTTGTTGGACTGAGGGGTTTCATTCTTGGTTACTCCTCCAGGAGTTTTGGGAGAAGCCTTAGAAGATGGCATTTTGTTTCCAGGAGAAGCAGCCCTGGGAGAAGATGATCTGGATGTGGGCATCTTGGCTCCTGGTGATGCAACCTTGGGAGTATTAGATTTTGGCGATTTCTTCTCAGGTGTAGGAGCTTTTTGTGAAGCTTTTTTGTTTGTTGGTGACTTCTTTGGAGTCTGTTTTTTTGGACTTTCCGCCTTCTGCTGTTCTGTGTCAAACTCCTGATTCAAAGAAGATGCATTCAAGATGCTTAAATGAAAAACATGGTTTTAACGACATGCTTGATGCATAATTTGCCCTTATAATACAGTCTTACCTTCACTAAGCCAATGACTGATGCTCGTCTGAGGAGCGACTGCTTTGATTTCAACAGACACAAGCTCCTCCGTGGAGTAGCCCCTTTACATAATGGAGAGTTGGGGGGCAATCGTTTATCAAATAACTCTGGACTCAAGTAACCTCCAAAAGAAACACGTTTCTTCTTCCCCTGTGGCAATGAAAGTTGCGATGAAAGTTCTCCACTTTTGCGTTTCTTTGGCAGTTGTTTCACTGAGGGAATAAAAAATAAATAATCTTTTCTGTAAATTTTATCAAATACACCTGAATTAAAGCATTGTTAATTAGTATTCACAACAAACACTGACTGTTCATTACCCTTTTCAGCCGTCACCACATTTCTTGGCGATACTCGCCGAGCTTTCTGTGTGCTGGTTGGTTCTTCTTGGTTCTCCGTCATTACAGGATTAGTTGGTGTAACACCTCTACTTTTCCTCCTCATTGGTGATTTTGATTGATCACAAGTTTGCTCAATCACCTCCTGCACAGTAAACTCCTCTGGGGTTGAATTGTTATTCTTCTGAAGAGAAGCAGTTTCAGACTTTGTTACATCCTTGGCTTCTTCAGCTGCAGACACAGGTGTCTTAGTAGAAAGCTCAGAAGACTCTCTCTGCTTCTTCAGAGACCTAGGGGTTCCATTAACAGCATTCTCATCAGCTCCAACCATAACTTTAGCGTCATCTTTCTTAGGGGTGCTTTCACTGCCTGTTGAAGTGGGGGGGTTGCCTTTTTGTTTTGTTTTGGGGGTGCAAAACTTTGTAGCAGGGGTTTGGAGAAGGCTCGTAGTAGAAGATCTCTTTGTGGTCTTGTCATCAAAAGATTTCCTGATCATTTGATACAGGTCATTAAAGGGGGAGATGGTTTTCTGGCTGTCATCCTCCTTGGATTCAAACTCCATGGTTTTTTCCAAGGATCGCTGGATGTTGTCATGATTAGTTCCATCTGTTAAGTGAATTAAAGAAACTCTGCATTAATGACCACATTAAGCTCTTTGTAAATAGTATTTTTTTTTATTATTATTTGAATTATATTCAATTATATTGTCACCTGTAAAAACTTCAGAAACCCTCTTTTCTCCAGTTTCAGCAACTGCATCAACCAGTTGTGAATCTTGAAAAACCTAGACATTAAGCATAATGCTCAGTAAACATGTACTTGGACCACTAGTCAAAAAACAAAAACAAACAACTGTTGAGTATTATAAAGTAGCTCACCTTGAGAGTTTTAGTTTTGCTTCCTGTGGACGATCTCTTCTTTGGTGTCGGTGCTGGAGGATACTCAAATCTAAAATTATATTTAGAGTCAGTGAGTAACATACCCTTAAAATACACCAAATAAGTGTCATATACAGAACACAAGCTAAAGAAACAAAGTTATCAGATACTAACCTGAAAGAACGATCAATAATTGTTATCACATCGCCATGCTTTAAACGTTCAGACTGCTGCAGGATCTCTCCGTTGACCCGTGTTGGATTAACTGAGCTCAAATTTGTCAAAACCACCTGAAATACAAACAGGAGAAATAACTTAATTCTATGTGGTAGGAGCTTTAGGCAGAAGAAAACCACAACCATGGATTTAATTTATTCCTATTACTGCCCTCAATTGACTTTTAAATAAAGGCATAATAAATAAACAAACAAAATACTAATAGTTAGATCAAAAATATTTGAAAATACATATCATATCTCAATTCTTTCCTAGGTTTATTTACCTCCTTATTTTCATTCAGATCAATTCTGCAATGTTCCTTGGACACATGAGGAAGCTGAATACGGATGTGACAATCAGGCCTCCTGTAGAAACAAAGACATAATAAACAAAAACAATTAGAATGTGAAGATGACCTGGTCTAAACTGGGAATATTATGTATTTCAAGGAAAGATGGGCTCAAGTGAGAAGAACACTTAAAAATAGTTTGTCTTTCACAGGGTCAAGAAACACATTTAACATACATACATCATGACCAACTTCAATTTTAAGTCTTTATAAAAAGTTAAACATACTAATAATCAATAATGCTAGCCAAGAGGAAAAACCCATTACTAATCCAAATATTAACATAAGTGTGAGAAAGACTTTAGACTATTGCAGAGATACATTTAAATAATTCAACATTATCAATCCTAAACCACACAAGGAATTACCAAAATGCTGAACAAATTTATTTTACAATGAATAAAATACTTTGCTGTTTATAGTTAGACAATAAGTTAATTGTCTGCTTCGAACGTCTTGTGGAAATCGCCTTCAAAATAAAAGCATTGCAGCCGCATGACGTGTGTGACCAATTTTGATGTTTATTTTGTAATGTAATGGTTGCAACGGAAAAACATACCAGGACCCGGATGTACTACGGAGAATCGCATAACATCCAGATCTGAGTTATGGACTCAAGCATTTAGAGTGAGAATCGGTGCTAGTCTTTTTTAATCGTCTTTTCTTTTTTTAATCGTCTTAACAGATGCTAAGAAAAACATCGGCATAAACGTTCACTTGTGCACGGCTCTTTTTCGTGCAACCATGGCTGGTGGTGAAAGTAAGAAATCAACCAGAAAAAAACAACAGCAGCAACAACAACAACAACAACAACAACGTCGGTCGTTCACAAATGCGAGGAAATTGGAAGTGGTAGCTGTGGCTAAGAAGAAGGGGAACAGAGCCGCTGCACGTGAGGCTGGCGTCGTTGAAAGCATGGTTCGACGCTGGAGGCTGCATGAGGACAAAATAAAGAGCATGTGCCCACAGTTAAGAGCAAACGGGCGGGGTATGAAGTGCCGCTGGCCAGACTTGGAAAGGGAACTGGTATCTTGGATTACTGCACAACGAGATGCTGGGAGAGCTGCGAGTACTATTGCTATACGCCTGAAGGCAATCAACGTGGCCAGGGAAAGGGGCTTAGAAGGTTTTGGGGGCAACCCATCTTGGTGCCAAAGATTTATGAAGAGGAACAATCTTGTAGTCAGAGGTCGAGGCAAGACGGCTCCTGGTCATAAGCTGCCAGAGGACTGGCAGCGGAAAGTAGCAGAATTCACTTTGTTTGTTCAAAGGATTATAACTGAGAACAACTTCACAGCTTGCAATGTGGGCAGCATGGATGAGGTGCCCATGTCCTTTGATGCTCCCATAATCAGAACTGTGGTGACTACCGCTGAGAAAACCGCCAAGGTGACGACTACAGGCCAGGAACGGACAAACTTTACAGTGGTACTGAGTGCCACTGCTGATGGGACCAAGCTGCCTCCGTTCATCATCTTTAAACGTGTTACCATGCCGTCTGAAAACTTCCCCCCAAATTGCATTGTTGTCTGCAACAAAAAGGGGTGGATGAATAAAACAGTCATGCAGGACTGGGTGAATAAATGCTGGAGCAAAAGACCTGTCTCTACCATTGATGACAACAGTATTTTAGTGATGGACTCTATAGTATCCCACAAGAATAGCAATACAAAACGAGTACTGAAGGAGAATAAAACTCAGCTAGCAATCGTCCCAGGGGGGCTCAGCTGCAAACTCCAGCCACTAGATGCTGGGGTAAAGTATGCTTTTAAAGTGTATGCACGCCAGGAGTGGGAGAGTTGGATGGCCTACGGGGAGCACGAGTTCATGTCTGATGGGAGACAAAAAAAGGCCAAGTTCTCAGAGGTGTGCTCCTGGATTGTAAACGCGTGGGCAAAAGTAAAGAAATCCACTGTCGTTAACAGCTTCAGGAAAGTTGGAATCATAACCACTGAACTGACAAATTCAGACTCCACTGACTCCGAGTCAGACTGGGAGAGTGCGCCACCTACTGGGCTTGATGAAAACACTTTGGCTTTATTTCACAGCGACAGTGAAGATAGCGATTTTGAGGGGTTTGCATCGAATGATATCAAGTCAGAAACATCAGAGAAGTACATAAGCGATTTTTAACATTTCTGAAAAATAAAACTTTTGACACTACACAATACTTGTCGTTTATTTAACAACTGTACACAGCAGCTACTGCAACAGCAGTGGGTAATTTAAAACATTTACCATTGAGCATGAAATAAAAGCAGTTCTCTTGCTTCAAATCTTCTGCTGTGGCGAAACCAAAAGTCAGCTATTTGATAATAAATTAAATCTACATCTACATAAATCCATGATAATAATGATATTGGTGGTGGTTATGCTCAACAGTGTTCTACAAGGTGACAAGACAGACATTGGAAGAAAAATGATATACTGCTGAAATGAAAGTTGTTTTTTTTAAATTATGTATGGCATTTCTGTTGTAAGATTTAATGTAAGTCATTTACTACCTGTACATTAGAACACTACGATCCATTAGATTTGTTGATTTAACATTTTCAGTGTAGATGGAGCATAACATTGTTGCCAGTCAGACTTCTGCATACATTTATGTGTTCTGTAACAAAATAATAGCTGAAATTATAGAACACTTTTTAAAAATAAAATACTTAATAAAACGTTTCAATTCTAATTAATTCACTAACTACTGGATTCATCAAAACACGTGCAACAATTTCTTAAATTCATCTCTGCAGTCGTGTACGTGGATTCTGACGAAAGCAACGGATGCTCCGCCCCGAACAAATGGGTTTTTACAACACTTTGGTCACCACGTTGTGTGAAATTACACTGAAGGACGTAACCTGTGTTATGAAACAATAAATGGATGTTTCACATATGTTACAACAGTACCGATCATTTAGACCAATCATGTTGCAAAATACGTTAGAAAATCAGAAGATAAAAAGGTAATAAAATGTGCTTATATTAAAGAACTCACCTTCCAAACAGACAGTTGGCAGTGAGCGGAAACTCGATGCCGTCTGTTCCGCTTCTGTTTATCACCACTATTTTCCCGTGTATCGGCATTATTGTAACCTTACCTGGCGGTGACAGAAAACACATCAAAGCAAGAGGTTTACAAAAAACAAAAATAATTTAATGACATTTAAAATTTTATTTAAAGCACACTCTTTAAAAGCTAGCCCCGACCAAACCTGCCATGCACGAGTTGGACTGATTGACCAGTGACTAGTCTCCTTGACCTGGTCAGATTTAAACGAACAGGCCGACTTTAGGTTACTAGTTAAAACACAACACACCACGTGTAAGGACACATCGACAGTAAAACTGGCCAAGACGATACGTTGAAGAATCGCCACGACGTTCTTATTTATTAAATATGATTTCGCACATAAGTAAAGTACATAGAACGTAAAATATGCGTCACACAAGAAACGCCGTAGTCACACTATAAATGATAAGAAAGCAAAACGAAAGGTTTTTGGCTTTACCTGTATCTCCGTTCACAAATGCGATGGCTTCTTGAAATCCATAAACTTCGACAGAATCGCGTCGAAGATTAATTAAACTACAATAGCATATCAACCTATAAAAGTACAGTTAGTTTTCACCGAACACCTCAGTGAAGACGGTTGACTGACTACTAACCGAGGACATGCAGCGGTTCCTTGTCCACTCTCGCCTCCTTCAGAGTTACTACAGTGTCACTCCGCCAAACTACAGTTACGCGTTAAACCTCTCAAAATAAACTGACTCACATGTGTTTTTTGGTTCAAGTATTATATTGTGTAATTAATTTGTATGTCTCCTTATTAATTCTTTTTTATTTGAATGAAATGTGTATTTGACGTTTACCAAGAGGGACTACTTTGTTTACAATGTAGCGGAAGGATACCATGGCTCTATCGTCAACGAAGTTTAAAAATATTTAAATTTCCGCGCGAAGCTCTATGATTGGACCAAGTGTCACCATCTACGTAAGAGGTTAGCGTACAATAAGGCCAATAACCGGGCTTCTGTGAACAACGTATGTTACCTCCTGAAGTCATGTCAGGCTCCAGTGGTATCTGTCTAATTTAGTTTTTACAGCAGATAAATAATAATGTTGATTAAACATTTTACTTGTTGAGTTTAAACACACATTTGTGCTTTTACATTCACAGCATACACTGTTTTTACACGTAGGTGTCCTTACGGTAAAAAAAAAAAAAAAAAACTCAAGAAGTTACCAATACTTTGATTTACCAGGCTCTTGGAAGCATTTGATAATCCATAATGTATTTACAGCTGCCGAAGATCTAGAAATGATAATATTTAGCCAAAACATAGAATTCGTAAAGGGAAGCAAAAAAAAAGCTAACAGATAACTAAAATAAAAAACAAACTAAACTAAAAGGCAAACGTAATTAGTGTTTTGATAATTTCTTTCAAAGTTATTTGTTAGTTCCGTAATATAATTATATTAAAAAAATCAATTTAATGTTCATGTCTGATGATTATTTAGTAATATATTTTGTACTTTTGTTTTAAAGTTTAGCTTTGTTATACAGCGCCCTCCAATGGTAACAAAATATATATTTTGTATAATTTAAACCTCTAGAAAATGACAGATTTATCGTTGTTGACGTGACAAAAACCTGTTGCAGAAGAGATGGAGAGCGAGAGACAAGCAGGACACACAGACACCATTTAATAATTATTAAATGTTCATTTTATTTTTAATCTTTTTTTGTTTGTTTTTTTCTCTTTTTTCCAAAGTCGCTTGATAATCTTGACAAAATTGCAACATATTTCCATATTTCTAAAACTTGACAGGTGCGTCTGTTGCTATTCCAGATTAGCTGTGGAGGGAGACGTTGTGCGCCGGTCTGGACATGTTAAGTCCTAAAATGATGAAAAAGCAGCTTTAACCGTACAAATTAAAATAACACATGAATGACTCAGAGAGGGTAGAGAAAGAGAGAGACAGAGTGAGAGAGAGAGAGGGTCCACACTGGCATCCCATGTCGTAATGTTGTGTGGTCCATGTCTCTCAACACAAGTACTGGTCTGCCAGGCAAAAGTAAAGTGAGTGATTGAAGAAAATCCAGGGGCTCAGTAGCAGACGTTTGTTTGTTTGTGCATCCGTGATTGGAGGGTTAAGGGCTGCAGCACAGAACATTTACAAGGAACAGGCCAAGCACACAAAATTGATTCCTTCCTGAGACATTGGATGTGTACAGTAATGATGGTCTCGATGACGTGTGTTGACGACTGTGAAGGCGATTTGGCTTTTGGGTGAGTCACAGGGTCCAAGGTTGCTCTGGATTCGGCCAAAAAAAGTCACAAATTGATTGTTTGTTTGTTTTTTAAACCACAGGGAGATTTGTGTTGACCAAAATCACATTAGGGAGCTTCACTGTTCTGGCCTCTGACTGAGCAGAGGGATTACAACAGTCCCATCTACTACAGATCCACTCAGGGCGTGTTTAGCACAGTGTGCGTATAAACACTCTTCACAATTGACCTCTCCCTGACGCTGCAGCTCGCTCACACCTCACAGTGTTTTGCGTGGCGTCGAGCCTGCCGTACTCACAACGCCATCTCTTCTTAATATATGGCCCAAAAAAGCTCTGCCCCAACTGGAGTGCTTTTTTTTCTTTCTATTGTTTGTCAAAAAATAACTAAAGTGAGGGTGGGGGGCAAAGGTTGAAACTGTTTGTGAAAAACCACAATCTGAACAGCCAGTGATTGGTTAAGGGTCTGCCCAGTATTTAGTAGGACACAAAACACGATAGAACATCCTTCAGTAAAATGTGCTCAAAATGTCTTTTTTTCCATTGACTCACAAACCTATGAACAAAAAAACACAGAAGGTTTAAAAAAAAAAATCAGGTGAAGCCTAAAACTCTTCATAGTTTTAAAGAAATGAATACAGCTTATATACACAAACTCAAAGGCTACTTAAAATACACCTTAAAAATGAATCTTCATTAATTTGATTTCTTGAAAGGACCTGTGACCACATCATATCATACAACTGAGTTCATACAATCATTTTTTTTCCATTCTCTTGGAAGCGACACAAAAAGAAAATAAGGAAAACAAATCCAACCTGGAATAGTAGGTGTAATTCATTGCGACTTGTTTTCTGTGCAGATGTGTGAGTGAGTGTGTGTGTGTGTATAGACTGGAGAGACGTGGGTTTGTCCTCTGCTTCTCATTAACCACAAAGATGTGGACAGCCGATCAAACTCAAACGTCTCTCCTCATTCTCTTGATGAGTGTGATAGGATTGAAACAGTGAAGCCTTACAACAACTTCTAATCTCAGAAAACACGTCGTCTTGTCCATCTGCTGTCCCACATTGGACATGTCCATCATAATAAGTTCCTTAACTTTTCTATATATATTTTATATATCTTTTTTTGTATGAAATCTGTTCTTTGAAGGTGGTTAAAAAGAGGGAAGACCCAGAGTCTTTGAGGAGGAGGGTCTTCTGCAGTCTGCCTCAGAGTACGACCAAAACAAAGTGTCTGGTGTTTATTTAAATCAGTTCATACACATTATTTTTCTTGTCCAAACATTTGTCCTACACTCTCCGACCAGACTCAGCTCCATCACACACTGGTCTCTGCCTCGTCCAGGTTTAGTCTCTATTAGTCTTTCCAAGAACAGTAAAGAGGATGAGGAGGAAAATGGTAGGACGTGGAGGAGTTATCATCATCATCAGCAGTGTTAACGGTGTGGTCTCCAGGAGGCGCCCCGTCTCCTCCCTGGCCAGCCCTGACTTTACCTCACCCTCAAGCCAGGACGGTGTTCCAGAGTGAGAGAAAGCAGATGAGGAGGTGGGGAATCTCTGTGATAGGAGAGGGAGGAGGTTGGCTCTGCAGGTCTCCTGTTTTCAGCAGTCACAGTCAGGGCCTTCCTCCTTCGCTCCTCCTCCTCCTCAGGACATTGAAAGGAGGAGGAGAGAGAGCACTGTGAGGAAAAATAAAAAGAGCGAGCCAGTTCCACTGCCTACTACGGTGAATGTGTGGCTGGACTGCTTTGGGCAGAGCTTGGGGAGAGACTGGAGCTGCAACTACCAGGGGGGGCGCCACTGGCACGACTACCCGTGGCCCCACTCTCCAGACCTTCAGAGTTTTCTAGCATCTCCTGGATGAGAGGGGGCATGGAGCCAGGAATCTCCATCTTCAGGGTGATGACCCGTTCAGCTCCTATAGAAGAGACAAAGAATGAAGCAGTGGTATTATGAACAGGCAGTCAAGATGTAGTCTTAGTCTCTGGACCAAACTGTAACTTAATCTTAGTCTCAGCCCAGCCAACAGACCTGTTAGGGGTTTAGTCAACAAAATATCACTGGTTAAATTGTGTAAATATACTTAGTATATAGACTTAGTCGACTGATGTGTAATATTTTTATGTTTAATAAATGTACTTATCTTTGTTTCTAAGATCTTGATTCGACAGAAAACTGTTTCAACAAAGATAATTATTTCTATTATTTATTAATAATTATTTAATATACTTTATTATCACACCTAAACACCAATTATACAGTGTTGTGTGACATGGCCTTGTTAGTCAGTCACTACCTGACCTAGTATTTAACATATCTGTATTTGTCCTGTGGTTTTTAACAACATAACAACACAAACAAACTGTTTCTGAATGAAACCGTGCTGTCCAGAGTGTAACGCTGACCTTTAGCACTGATGCTCCTCAGGTCGGTGATCTTCATCAGCATCTTGGGGAACATGTGCGGTTTGTGGGGCCTCCTTTTCCTCACGTAAATTTTCAGCGCCTCCAGTAGAGGCTCCTGAAGGACGTCCACTTTATCCGCCTGCTCCAAGTCCTGGCGATCTGTTGAGGAAGAGTCGACACAACATGTAGTTACTCTACCAAGTGTAATAACGACACTCAGCCACTAGGTGGGGGTCAACGACAAGGCATAAGACAGAATCCCTGCTTCACATTATTTTCACCATTTTCATTATTGTGGGCTTTAGTTTCTTTTTAAAGACCCTGTTATACCTCCACACAGCAAACAGATGGCGCTGAGGAGCCCTGTCTCTGCATCGTCCATCTCCAGAGGAAGAAGCTGATTGGCAAATGCAAAAACCAAGTCAGTGAGGGGACCGAAGCCGGCATTGTGCATCTGGGTCCGGTTTAACGTGAGTCCATCGGAGAAGGTCATGGTGTCCTGCTCTGGCGTGTAGCGTGTACAGATCCGCAGTATCTGTGGAGTGACAGTGCAGTACTGTTAATTACTAGTACTGCAGGCTGAAACGTAAGGAGCTACTGAAGAAAGTCACCAGTCAGTGCTTCTCACCAGGATGTCGAGACAGGCTGCTTTGAGGAGAGTGATCTGGTCAGCGATGGTGAGCGTGGTGAAGCCTGGCAGCTGCTTGGCGAACTCCACCGTCTTGATGATGCACTTGGTGGAGAGCTCGCTGAATTTGTCCCACAGATCTACATCCAAGGACACGCGTCGTTCTGAGCTGTTAGTCTGTGGAGGCGGAGAGAATTGTGGGAAGTTTTACATGACTGAGGAAAGATGCTGGTCATCCAGAGTTCACCAGATGAGAAAAAACAGAGTCATGTGACACAGATAGTACTGACCGTAGTGTATTTGCCCAGCTGGCAGAGAGAGGGGAAAGTCTCCTGGTGGGCCTTGCGGACCCTGTCGATCATCTGCTCCGTGTCAGGAGTCATCACGTAGCTCTCCGTGCACTCCTGCTTCTTCTCATCCTTTTTCTTCTTGTTCCTGTCGTTCCTCACTGCTGCAGAGAGAAAACAAACAGAAGAGCAATCGACATCAGCCTGACATTCTCAGGAATTCATGACATGACAGCGGTTTTATGACCACTGATTGTAAATAAGACATGGATGGATGGATTCTTGAAAAATATTTGATGATGATGTGATCTTAATAAAGTACAATCCCATTTAGAGGAAAATGAAGAATACAGATCAATATGGCAGACTAATAGAAACCTGGGGTTTTAGGAAACAGGGTAGATGATGAAGCTGGACTGTTCTTATTGGCCACTCACATTTATCAGTTCTTCATCACTACACCGAGTACAGGACTCAGCTGCTCCATGGAACATTTTACTCTCAACTGGATCGTACAACACACATCATTGTGCTTTGGACCTTAAACTTGTGGTCTTTTTCTGGGGCTCCAGCACAGCCTGGATATTATCACAGTATTAAAACAAACAGACGCTGGAGAAAAAGTCATTGGCAGGAAAAAAATGTTGTGTCTGTGGCAGCGAGAACAGCTTCACTCCTTTTATCTAACGTTAGAAGATTAATGCACTGAGACAGCTTCGGTAATAGTGGGGGGTGGGTGGGTGGGGGGCTTGAAATAATCCAGTGTCATTTCCCTCTGGGCAATCTGGATGAGAATAGTCGGCTCAGCCCAAATGACAAAAACCACTAGGCGTGGGTGTTTAGCATTGGAATCCCATTATCGGCTGGATTCATTTCTGCCAGCCCATCCACACTGGGGTGCAGTTTGCCCACCTCTTGCTTGTGTATGTGCGTGTTAAGGGAGGGGGGTGGGTTTGGGCGAGATGGGCTGCTACTTGATAAATAGCGGAGGGGGAAGGAGCTATCCATAAGGCTGACAAATAGCCACAACTTTCATTAGAGGTCTGGGCTAATCTAATAACATAATATGACAAATATCCTGCCTCTAATGGTTTTAAAAGGAGTCGGCTGCTCGGCCTGTGGAGGAGAAAACCCTCCCAGCATTCTCCGCCTCACCCTCTGTGTAACATATTTCTCTGCCTCTCTTGGTTATAAAGCACACTCTCATGCTCCTGATTGTACTTGGTTTCATTTTCCATGCGAGCCATCTCTCTTTTTCAAAATTGCATTGCCTTTGCTTTAAAGCCTTTCTCATAAAACCATCTTCATCATTTTTCCATCTCAACCTCCCCTTGGGGTAGCCCAATTTCCCTCCCGGCAACTGACCCGAGATCAGATTTTCCTGGTCTTAATCCTAACCTGGACCATTAAGGGGCCAGAGCGCGGCGGCTGATGGGAGATCAGTGTCTTTGAAAGGGGTGGGGGGACTGGCCTGGGGCCAGGCAGGGCTGCGCTACCCAGAGCTGATGCTCATTCGTCAGCCCACAGACAGGTCTCCCAGACTGGGGGAACATGAAGGGGAAGGAGCCAAGGCGGAGGCTGGGAGTCTGCTGCAGCGCCGTGTTACTGCTAAGCACTGTTTGCTAAAACAAGAGACTGAGATGACCCTGCTGTGCACATGGTAATACATCGTTTCCCAGAAATTCAACTGCACTCGTGTGGCGATCCAGCGTCTCTGCAGTTGAAGCACCGCATGGAGTCGTGCAGCAGTAAAAGCGTGACAGTGGATAAATCAGAAACAGCACGTTTCGCTGTAACGACAGCCTTTTAAAGTGACACCAGTGAAAACAGGGAAATCAGTGAGACGATTTCTACTCACACTCACCTCAGTGGGCTGATTATGACTGTGAGAGGAAATGCCTTCAGTCTAAAAGACACATCTACACAGACATGCTCATGTTGGTATTTACACACACTGTGGGGAAGAGTGGCCATTACACTGAAGCACTTCCAGCTGCATCTCAACACCCAGCATGCCTTTGTGGACGTTTCAACTTCAGGTCAGTGGCCCGGCTTGAGGACTGTAAGTCAGTCAACGACTGACACAACAGACAAACAGACTGCAGACTCATTAATGTCGTTGAGGAAAATGACTCAGTGAAGTTTTAAAGAAACTCTATGTAGCTTTTATAACAATGACTAAACTCCACCAACTCCATGAAGGTAACTGTTGAGTTACACTATATATACTTTTCTTGACATTTTCCCATATTAATACCTCCATCTTTTTTGTTTGTTTACTAATGTACATTTATCTGGATCAATCCTGATTAATTGTGATTCATTATAAAGAGAATTAATCATGAAGAATAGTGATTCCTACAGAGCTAACATGTGATTAATGGGATTTGGAATTCTAATTGTTTGACAGCCCAAAAAAATCCATAATAAATGTGCTGTTTGGTTCTTGGGGGTTCACCGAGGACTACAGAAGCCTCTGCCCTGTTCTTATACACAGTCTATTATTCAGACACATCAAAAGTGGTGAGTGAGCAGCTGAATTTATCTGGGCCAGACGGTTTGATTCTGAATCGCCGTCCTGTCAGTCAAGAGAGGGGGGAGGAGCCGAGTGTCCAGAAAAAAACAATCGATGTCCAATTAATTCACAAATAAAAGTGGGCCATCCCGTGTGCCCAGACATAACTCGCACTGACAAATTGGCAGCACAATCATAAGCCGCACAACACAATTTAATGAAGTCATTAAAGAACTATTAGGCACGACTGGCGATCTGTCATGGAGAATTGCCACATGCAATAACTTGAAGGAAGAGGGGGAGGAGGTGGGGGTGGTGGCGAGGAGCTCAAATGAATGATATACTACCTTCCATCTTTATTGTGTGTGAGTGAGTGTGTGCATTCTGACGTTTGTGTTAACTCGGAGCACTGCATCTTTCAAAGGCATTATGAGAATATGAATGCTAATGGCTGCCCTGCATCCTGAATTGTTTGTGGTTCATGTACACTGCATCAGAATGATTTACAGGAGCTGCTGTTAAATGTGCACTGAATTCAATACACACACACACACACACACACACACAGATAGTAGGCTATCATTCAATCATTTGTTTGCATAGCAGATTTCGGTGTGCAGTTAATAGACTATTTCTGTTACTGCCTCAGTGTGTGTGTGTGTGTGTGTGTGTGTGTGTGTTTGTGTACAAGACAGAGAGGTGGGGAGAAAGGGGATAATTCGTGTGAGGAAAATTAAAGTGGTGGCAGCTCGTCCATCACAGAGATTAAATTCAATGGAAAGATAAAAATGTCAATGTTCCCCCCTGTGCTCCTGCTGCTGGCAGCACAGAGCCACCGTTAGACAGTGATGAAACTTTCTCCCTCCCTCTGTCCTCCAGCCCCTCTCTCTCTCAGCCCTGTATCACCCCCTTCACTTCAACTGCAGAGCTCCACCCCCTTCCACACTCTGTTCTGTTCTTCCCAGTACTGTACTGTACTGTACTGTACTGTACTGTACTGTTCTGTACTGTTATGTTCTGTGCTGTTCTTCATCATTCTTTCCCTCGTCTTATATTACTTTTATTACTCTTGCCCCCGTCACAGGTTAAACTCCGTCCTTGAAGAACACATGGGGGCAATAGTTCTAAGATCCTGGCACAAAAATAGGGAGATGATGATAAGGACAGGAAGGTACTGAGGGGGTGGTGGCTGCTGCTGCTGATCTGAACCGGAACATAAACACATTGTGAAGGATCTGAATCATACAATCAGCCCCTAGGAACAACAAAATACAGAGACTGGGAAAATAGCCAGCAGCTGAATTTAATGTGTTGTAGCATTAAAACAACTGAACATTGCTGAAAATGTGCTCACGCTACAGGTTTGTTACACTTTTGATGAACCCATGTGTGATTAACATTAAATAATCAAGGGTCATTTTTTGCCTGAGCAACAACACCAACGGTCAGCTCTGCATCTCCAGTCCAACTTTCAAGGAAATGAGTTCATGTTTCCTTGAACATGAAACAGACTCTTCAGATGAGACTCCATGTTAGTCCTCACTACTTCAGCCTGACTTACTCCCATTCACAGCACTCTTCCTCTGCCACCTTGCTTGGCATTGCCACCTGGCAGCGAGCCTGGCACTTTTGTCTGGAGCTGTCTGCAGGCAGACGTAAGGTCACACAGCCGTCCCCCAGTGCAGACCGAGGGGGGGACGTCCACCTTCTGGGACACTGTATGTGGTTTAAGTGAAGCTGTCAGAGCCTATTTACATTTCAGCTTTTTTTTTTCTGCACAACAGTTTGTGCCAGTCACCTTGTTTACACTTGAAATTATGCGTGTGAGTGTGTTTGTCCGTGTGCGTGTGTGTGCCAGAGAGACTCCCTGCCGACCCCAGATGGCCATGCTGTCCCTCCTCACCAACCCTGACCAGTAACACCAGTCAAAGTCACTTCCACTGACACAAAAGGAGCAATCTGTACAATCAGGATGAGACTCTGAGAGAGTTTTGACTTCATTTTTCCGACAACGGTGGTCAATATCTTTCCCATACGAACATTTCCAATCTTGACAACTGCCAGGAAACCGATTCAGGCCAGTTTTTTCAATTACTCAGTACCGCCTCTTCGCCACTAGATGGCTCTCCAGCACCAGTCTTGGCCTCTGCTCTGTACTCGGAGAGCGTGTGGGTGTTTGTGTGTAAAAGACTGGGCTGCTGTGATCCCTCTAACCATGATTAATGGCCCCATTCAAAGGTAAGGAGCTCGGAGGATAGCTTCTTTTACTGTAAACCTCAGTGCTGTGGCACGGGGAGCGCTCTACTCCGCTCCACTCTACCACAAAGACCAGGTAAAGAGCGCTGGGAGGACGCAGGTAGTGATGCAGCATGGGACTTGTGTGTGTGAGTGTGTGTTTTAACAGGTGTGAGCCGGTGATGGGAGGGCCTCCTCTGTTCATGTTTGATCATCAGTATTTACAGGTACAGAATATTTCCTTCTAATATAAAGTCATTCTATTTGTGACTGTGTAATAGAACCTGGTTGATGTAAAAAACAAAGTGTTACATTTGGTCAAACCTTCATCAAGTCTGAGGGTGTGTGTGTGTGTGTGTGTATGCGTGGGAGTGTGTACGTTCACACAGCCCCCAGGGTGCAATGATGGAAGCAGACGCCTGGTCTTTCACTCTCGGCAGGTGAGAACATATTCATCACAGAGGCCTGCCAAGGCTGGCGACACCCTGACTGTTACTGACAGTCTGCATCACTGCTGCTCTTTGTTAGTCCGTGCTTTTACAGTACATATTCTCCACAAACACTCTGTGGCCCCCAACACAAACATAATCAGCATTGGACTGATGATTATGTACACTCAAAATAAAGGAGTGAAAATCTAAATATAATATAATATAACAATATCATAAAAATATAATAACGGCTTTTGACGTTAACATGTTAGCTGTTAGGAAGTTTACATTAAAGGTTCTACGACAGACACACATGATCCTTGTACTTAAAATGTTATCTGAGGGGAGATGGCACTACTTTAATCTCGCTGAGCTCTGTCAACACATGCCGTCGCTGTGCTACACTGCTCCTGCCAAGTCAAGGACGTATACAAAAATGACAAGAATTGTTTTTGTTCATTTAAAAACGAACATAGCAAGGTATTAGCTTTATAGTTGACAATGAAACAGCTGCATAACATGAGAAAGCAACAATATGTAAAACCAAAAAAGGCAGCAAACACCTGAATCCCAGTAAGATCCTCAGCGGCTAAGTGCTTTTTAGTGCTTCTACTGTGCTGTATATTAATTGTTTTATAAAGGTGTTGAACTTTATCTTTTGTGGTTATGATGTTTAGACAACACTGTTTGATCTCGGATCTTTGATCTCTAACTACACTAGCTCGTGCTACTTTTGCTATTTAATAAAGTAAGACAACAGTCAACAATGAAGTGTACATTTTGTGTTTCCACACTTGAATCTCTGCCAAACTCAAGTATGCGTGAGTTAGTAATGCTACTTCAACAAAGTAGTGGGAATAATGCCAACAAATACTCTGGTTTAAGGCCGACTACTGTGGCAATAATCCTTCAACCCATTCTGGGATTAAACAACAGCGACCCCATTTGTTCATGACATGGCCAACAGCTGTGTGTGGGAGCAGGGCATTTTGGGTAATTTGGTACTTACACTCCTTGGACATCCCCACGTCCAGGCACTTCTGCAGCCGACAGTACTGGCAGCGGTTGCGTGTGACTTTGTTGATGATACAGTTCTTCTCCCGGTGACAGGTATACACCATGTTCTTCTGGATGCTCCGCCTGAAGAACCCCTGTGTGACGGAGAGAGGAGGTGATGAGGACAGGACAGGTTCAGGGGTGAGGGAATTTAAAGCAGCAAATAAATAAATGACTTGGCAAATAGCAGCGCACTGTTTGCCCTTGTGAATGGAGCTGTGGTACGGTTGTATATCAACATCACTGCTTTTATTATCTGCTTCAGTTGCATGTTGTGGATATATTGGGCCGTGTTTACGGTGTCCTCTCTCACTCTCCACTCCCTCCAAAGCAACGCTCCCTGGTGGCTTTCAAGGTTAAAAACAGTTAAATTAAAAAGCGGCACGTGACGTCAGAGAGGGACATTGAACAAGCTTGTGTAATCCCTCTTCTCTCACATTTCCTCAGGACGCCGTCCAAATCAGAAATGAATGGGAGAACCCTTTAGTCAAAGCTGACAGGGTGGAGGACGATTTCAAATGAGCCCGCATTTGGTCATTTTGGCTGAACGAGTAGATCTTCGAGGAGACAAGTTGTGTTTTGATTGCACAAAAAAAGCGAGGCATGGAAACAGAGCGAAACCTGCCTCCCACACAAAGGACACATCCCTCAGTAATAAGTTAAAACTCGCTCCCTGTGAACCTTAAGAAAAGCTTCATCTGCCAGAAAATTAGCTCACAATAATGGGTCATAAACCCAGTGACGGGAAAAGTCCAAAGAATAAAACACAACAGCTGGGGTTTCAGATGACTGTCGTATCTTAATCCCACAGTCAGGTGCCTCTGCCAATTATGAAATCTGCTCTCAAAGGCTGTGATGGAGGGGAGAAAATTACAGTACGCCAGAGGCCGAAGCACGGGAGTTAGACAACAGTGACTGAGCAGCTGGAGGGCCATTCATCACATTACATATTTTCCTCAATTCCATTCCTCCCCGATAAAATCAATGTTAACCTCGGTGCCCTTATTACTTTCTAACGTTATAACATTTCTCGTGTGTCATTTCTCGTGTGTCAAAAAAGATAAGAAAAGGTTAATTCAAATCAACCACATCTGCGTGAGTGCAGCGTGACATCAGCTTTATGCAGGTCAATGTCAATAATGATGTGACACGTTTAGACACAGGCCATGGTGCAAGGGTGGTGTGGTTGGAGGGGGAGGGTGGTGTTGGTGCTGTTGTGGCTGGTCACAGAGTCCCATCCCAACGCTTAAGGATTAGCATTGCTAACCGACAGATGGCTGCTGGACCTAAGCCTGCAATTTGTCCTTCGTGGATCACCGGTCTCATTGAGTGGACGTGATTCCCGCCTCAGAAGAACTATAGGGAGGAAGTGTGCACTCCTTTGTCATGTATCTGTTTCAGATTTGCCCTGGTGGACAGAAGGTGGACATCAAATGATCATATAAAATATACTACTAACTTTATAAATATATAAAATATAAAGTTTAAGAAGACTTAATGGGGGATGTTTCAAGCTTATTTGTAGGTTGATGTCAGTCCGAGCTGCTAAGGCTAATGCTACTGTCAGCCTGCCTCTGTGTGGCACTGTGACTGTGTATCATTTCCACTTTGATCCAACGTCGCCCCGACCCTGACCCTAATGTCATCAGGGGATTAACCTACTCCCTCCTGACACCATGAGGCCACGGTGCCTTCTCGCAGCACCTTCTGATTGGCTGATGAGCTGGGGCTCATGCGCCAGTTGATTGTTCCGGGCCCTGCCCCCCCAAACCTCCTTCTCTTAAAGAGTCATTGCTTCCTGCCGCCCATAAGCCTCTTTTTGTATCACCGCTTAATCCAGCCAGTGACAAGAGCCCTCAGCGGGCCTGTCAGCCACCCTGCAGCGTTCAGAGATGAAGGCCGCGACCAGTGCCACAGAGGGAGGGCCTGGGCGGTGAGGGAGGGAAGAACGAACAACAACATCACGCATGTGTCTGCTCGTGCCATGAACTCAACATTAACGGACAAACTGCTTGTGTGAACATAAGGCTGTTGTTCAAGGAAGTCAACCTGTGTGAGGACATGTTTTATTGTTGGAGTAGCAGACGGACGAGGGGAAGGGTGAGGCTGGAGAAAACGAGGATCCAGGGAAAACTGTTTAACTCAACTTTAACACAACCGCTGATCGATGGTGCGTCCCAGTTTGTGCATAAAAATGCCATTAGCTTTGGCTAATGCCACGCTAACTCCACATTCCCTGCTCTGCCCAGTGACTATAGAATGCACGTGGATACTGTCTGCTTTTTAACATAACTGAAGCCATCAGCCATCTTGTGTCAACGCCAGCATAAAAGTGGGAGCCAAACTGACTGAAGTTTTTCATCTTAGTTTCAACATCTGTGAATTGTGGTTTGTATGTCCCATATAGGGTTAGTGACAGAGAGCATTAAAGGATCGAAACAGGAGCTAAAAAGAATCCCACTGGGGCAAAGCAAACACCAGTAGTGGGAATGGTGTAAAAACATCATGAGCATCAGTAGCTGCTGCCACAGCTGACACAATATGAAAAACAGATACTTGGCAAGAAAGAAAGAAAAACACTTCAAACACATGGGGAGGTTGCCCGCTGCGTTCTTGCAGGCCTCAAAGAGAGAGAATAAAGACGACAGGGTGGGCATGCAGATTTAATGTGTGAGCGCCGATATCTACAGGGTGCTAGGGTGAAACACGGTGCCAGTGACGACGCGCGAGGGGCAGGAGTTAAACAACAAACGAAGGAGCTGCTGCCGAGAAGCCGAGCTCGACAACTCCCTCCTGTTTCCTGCGTGTGCTGCAGCCCCCAGGAAATGCCTTTGTAGTTTGGCACGCCGCGGTAAAACAGACACTGCTAACCCTCGTCTTACCCCGCTCTCTGATGAGGCAGCGTATACGTTCACATGCCTGTAGTGTTGAATTATTGAACAGGCTCTGCCCAGTCATCTCCTCTGAAGTCGGAGATATGGAGAGGGCATGCTGAATATTTCAGATTAGCACTGCGGCGGTGGAGTGGGCAGGCAGACGGTTTCACGAGCAGAGTGTTAGCAAGTCAACGTCTGACATGAGGTGTTTTTACAGTTGCATGTAAAATTTGAAAGGCTTTTTCCGAACTGAACTATGAGCAGACACCAGTCCAAACCGTCCATTAGATGGTGTTATGACGGGTCTTTAGTGTAAAAACACTCAATTATTCAGGACTTGTGTGAACATATGTTTCATGCAGAAATATAATCTTGGACTAATGGCTTTGTTTTCAACTCAGTATCACAGAGTGGTGAAACACACACGAGTCTCCGGTCCTTCTGCATGCAGTTAATATTTTATTTTAGGAATAGCACTTCAAATGCAGTCTTATAATATGAGGAATTAAATCAATACTCTGTATTTGTATTAGCAGTTAGCAGAAGCTAAAAAGGGTCAGCACTGTGGGTTCTGGATTTACTGACAGAATTACTGACATTTTACGCCTCTGTGCCTTCGCACCCCTTGAACACACTTGACCAGAATGTCCAACTTTTAGAAAGTTGGTTTTGTCTTCTAAATTAGCATGATGCTAAATCTGGGTCTTATGCCTTACTCTTTCTTATGTACTTAATAATTAGTTCTGTTTTTCTTGAATTATCTTTCTCTGTCTTCCTAATTGCTCTAGGGGGACAAGTTTCTGAATATGAATGTTTACATTTATTTTTTTTACATTTTTATCCTTATCATAACATGTTTAAAAAAACATTCTCAGGCTGAAGAGCATGCGGTTCTCAGATGTTCAGATTGGTGGAGGAATACTAACAAAATCGATGGACACTTTCATTATTAACATCTTGAATCAAGCTGCCAGCAGCAGTGAGGCTCTGCAGCTGATGGCATTATGTATTATTTATATATTAAACTTCCATTGTTCCGTAATAATCCACTTGGCAAATTGTCTCCTGGCTGACAGATTAAACCATCAGTGATATCCCCGATGAGCAATAGCCTCAAAAAGCTAATTACACTGTCAAGTCCGACTCAGTTTCTCTGCTATCAAAGGGAGGCGAGGCTGTGATTACTAAAGAGAAACAACCAATTACTCATATTCACAGCTCGTCTATTGTCCTACCTCCCCCCCTCTCCCCGCTTTGTTTTATCTACACCTTACCCAGGTTTGTGTCAAAAGGTTTTGTGTTTGAGACGTTAGAATTACAAAGTGCAGAATCTGTTTTATTCCAAACAGGTCGGGGAGGGTCGTTCCTCAGCAGCTGTAACTGACCTTGTAATTTCGCTTATTACACTATTTAATTAAAGTTTATACAAAGGGGAGCGATGTTCGATAAGCACAATTAAAGCAGATTAGAGCTCCAGTGTGCCGTCGCTGCAGATCGTCTGAGATCAAAGTCAAAGCGTCTGAATACATTAAGTTGTCGGCAGTGAGATTTTTTTTGTCTGTATGAGTCGCTCTGGGGTGGAGACGGTGGTGACACTGAATATCCTCTGTCCTCCTCACATGAAAACCATCTGATGATCTGCTCCACCTGACCACTCTGGTCACTCAGCACCATGACCATCGTCTCCAGATATCTACTCTTTTATTTTTTAAACTATACTCTGCTGTTAACTACAAAAGATGTAATGACATTGGTTTTAATGACTTCAATTTGACTTTGTATGTATGTTCATCAAAGTAATGTGCCTTACTAATCAAAACAGTACACGGTCTAATACACAGTGGATACACATGTTATTTATGCTCACATTTTGTTTTTCGGTAAACCGAAACAGAGTGATCTTAAAAAGGTGATCGATCAAATGGACATTTTTAATGGTTTGAAAGCTGTAGCATAATGACAAGAACAAGATCCTTGATTCTGGAGGCTAACCTCCGCAGCACGGCTCCACTGAACACAGGTATAATCTCCAACAACAGCTGAAGTTTGAACATTGAGCAAATGTTAACAACATCCTGTTGGAGGCTTAAACACATTTGGAATTAAGTACACAGTTTCCCAAGGCTCTGACCTGCGTCTCAACTGTTTTGAAACACTGAACCGTGGCGTGTGTGTGGCAACAGCCAGTGGTTAGGTAACTGATTATTTAGAAACCAGATTGAATTTTCTGGACATATTTCTAAATCAGATGCTGTACAATCCACAAAGACGTCCACACACCCATTTCTGCTTTTCTTTCTGTCCACACTGAGTCAACCTGTCATACAGTAAGTGTACAACATACAACACACACCCTCAGATTACAGAAGAATACAAACGATTAATCTAAGTAAGAATGCCGTGAATAACTGCTTACATATTTGTTTTGGCCAAATTTGACTGAGAATGGAAAAACCCGTCTTTCTATTCTCATGCGGGGGCAGCGGGGGCAGCGTGGAGCGGCGCAGACAGCAGCCGTTCGACTGCGCCTATAAAACAGCACAGGGGTCGGCTTTTATTTACTTTGTTAAATTTTTATAAGTCATGTTTGGGAAGCGGTTTTGAGTTTCATGGAGCGCCGGCGCTAAAGGCTAACATCTCTGCATGCATGTCTGCGTGCTCACACGTGTGCCAGACTCCCCAGCTTTGCTGCACTCTCCAGTTCTTTGTGCATTCTTTTCTCTTCCCCTCTGTGTTGTGGTTCACTGAGCATCTTCCCTTGTGGTGTCAATGAGTTCAGCTGTGACCCCGTCCACCTAATCTGCTGCACGACGACTCTTCTTCACTGTTCACGGCTACAGAGGAACATGCTGCTGCACTTGATCTCTTCTATCATTTCTGTCTGGACTTCAGCTCCCCGACCCCCGTGGGTACGTGGGGTTCCCTGCTCTTTTATGTCGTTTAGCTGTTAGCTACAGCTACTGCCCTCCTGCCTTTCTCTCTGCTCTGCATGCTGCTCCTCCCTCCCTCTGCACTGCTCCTATTCCTGCACATATGGAAACACAGACCACAGTATTGGCTCTGTAGTCAATAAGTCGGAGGGTGGAGCAGGCACCTGTCACCATCAACAACAATCTGCTTGTATTCAACCGCCCGTTCCCTGCCTCCTCCTGACCTCCTCCTTCTACACAGAGAGCTCTGTCATTTACATACAGTAAAAACTTCATTTCCTGGTGTTTGGTTCATTTAAGAGCGCATTAAAACCGAGCCAACATAAACAGAACAAGGAGAAAAAAAGGGTGGTGGTTCCTGACACATTGGCACTGTGCTGATATAAGGTTTGCACCTGAAGGCAACACTACACCAGATTCCACAGATCTCTGGTTCCCATCCCGCTCTGAAGCTCACACTGAAGTCCAGCCTCTGAGCCAGATAAAGGGCTGTATGTGTGAGTGTGTGTGTGTGTGTGTGTGTGTGTGCTAACACTGAGAGCAGAGCTTGTATTCATGCTCAGAGCAACTATCAGCTGATAAGAGAGCAGATGGAGGTTATGAGGCCTCTTCAGCACCTGTGTAATGCGGTTGTATTGATAACAGACGGTCAGTGTGGACACGTCAGCAAAGATATGAGCAGCAACAACACTTGAAGGGCAGGAGAAAAATGAAAATGTGTTAAGGAGTGTGTTACCTACAGACCACGTGTGTGTTATCTTGTGTTTAGGCGCACGTTGTGTTGAAAGATGTAGTTCCAATAGGTCAAACTGATGATTAGAGCGTTCAATAAAGTAACTGATAATGCCTGTGGATTTTCTCCTCTGCTCCATCTGCTCCAGACCCGACGACTCAACATGAAAGTTGCACAACTCAGGTTTTTACGGTGCTGGGTCTGAATAAGGCCAGGAGTCTCACCTTGCAGCCCTCGCAGGCGCTGACACCGTAGTGGTACCCTGAGGACTTGTCCTGGCACACAAAGCAGGGTTTGTAGACGCGGGGCGGTGGGGGAGGCGAGGGCGGGCTTGGCACTATCTCCTCTGAGCTGGTACTCTGGGTCTCGATAGCTGCGGTGAGCAGGAGAGAGCAGAGAGGGAAGGGGTTAGTGAGCGTTTTCAGATGGAGGGCCGACAGATTTGGAGCATTAATCAATATCGTTGGGAGGAAATACAACCTTAACCACAAATACACACACCAGTGCAAACACACAGCTTAAAAAAAAACCAAAAAAACCCCTCCAGTCCTGAAAGACAGTGCGCTGACAACAGCACTTCCTACAAATCAGCTGTGAACCTTATATAAATGGAAGGAGCCATTACCACTGCAGGTCACAGTGGGATCTGGTCTGTGTTACAGCCAAAGGAGGACATACAGTACACATACACGTACTAACTATAGGTGTGACAGAAAAAAAATTCAAGTACAAGGCTGTCTTCCTGCCCAGGCTTTGGTAGTCCCCACGCAGGAAGGAAGGTTTTCTTGTTTTTTGGCTTGGACCAAAGAAAAAGAAAGTCTCAAAAGACAGAATTGTTTTTCCCTGAAACCACAGTTTCCTGGGACTGTAAAAGGAGCTCAGATAGTTCTGGAGGGTTCTTTTTACTGTTCAGCTCAGTGTTTGATGAGGGAAAAAAATCTGGGGTGGGCTTCATAGATATGAACAGTTTTTATTTTCATGGTATCTTGGACTTTGACCTCAATATCCTGTGAGTAAACACACATCTTTATTTCATTAACAAAAAAAAACAACAAACACACACAGCTGAGCTGCAGCCTGAGTTCTGTTAGTGCAGAGAAGCTGTCCTAATCACAGTTTGCAGGTGGTGCCTTTAGGTGTTTCAATTTCCAGGTGTGTGTATGAGTTTGATTCTGATTTACCAGAAATAACAGGAAGAAAACTTTGAATATTTTGTGTTTTTTTGTAACTTTTGACAAACTTCTCTGGATTTCTTTCATGTTAATGTTTTTTTACCTGGAGGTTGTTGTTGTTGACTGACTCACCCATGACATTCAAAGGTTTGACAATGATGTGCATGTTCCATGACTATGACATCATAGTCATGGCAGATTACGCTGTAAATCACCATAACTTAACAATGACTGCGAATGCCTGAAACTTTAACCAAAAGCACAGAACCAGAAGAATTAGGGCGAGAATTACAGGCAGCCGTCAGGACATTTGACCAACTGAAGGTTGTCTAAATCTGATGAACATCGCAAAGTATCTGTTTTAGTGAACAGAAAAAAACAACAATGGAGAGAGACAACCTATTATGCATCAACATTTTGACCCAGCCTTATCAGAAACAGATCTAAAAGCGGGGCAATACAGCCAACAAAAGATTTTTAAGAAAAGGGAACAAGAGAGAAAAACCTAAATATGTAACATTACATATGAACTGGGCTGAAGGTCAAGGTGCAAACACCACAAGAGCAGTCAAGAGGAAAAATACATCAATGACTAAAATGTCTCTGTTCATAAACAAGTGAACTGGTGTCTTTATTCACAACTTAGGATTTAATTTTATCTGATATTTACTGCATTGATTATTTTAATACCACCCTTGATTTAAGGTGGCCTGTGTGTGTGTGTGTGTGTTGAAGTTGAGTCCAGGTCAGCAGCCCAGCTAACAAGAACATGGACTTATGGAGCTGTCTGCAGCTCAGTGCTGGTGTGTAAATAATGCATCTATATTTAAACAGCAGTCTGGTCCAATGAGAGCAGAGTACAGAGGACACACTCCACTTACAGCACCGTGGACGGGCCTCATGTATGCAGCGAGACAGGGCTGAAAACAGACGAGCTCTTCCTCACCCTCACCTACTCATACATCCTTCTGCTCCAGTTACAGTGCTGGTGCCCGTACAGCAGATGGTGCAAGAGATGACCACTTTAACAGTAACCAAAATAAATCAACGTGAGGGCCAAGAATGAAAAGATGGCCATCTGCAAGCATCGCACGACAAAACCTAGCCTTTTCAGTAACACGTCCCAGTGGGGTTTCAGATGATGGAAACAGCTAAGCCAAGAGGCAATAAAGCTGGTGTTGGAAAAATGACGCCCAAGCAGGTCTGGGAAATTAGGAGATTTTAATTATTGGACCCTGAAAGGGTCAAAGGTCACCTTTATGCCAGCAATTATTGTTCGCCTTTATGTAGGTAAAAACAGACAGAACAGAAATAGATTCAGTTTAGTAGAAATAAGACCAATATTAACAGGAGACTTGATGGAGCTAATTAAAGAAAGACCAACTCACTGTTTCTTTTCAATGTGAGTTTTTTTGTTGCCGTCTGTTTTGTGCCGACTGGGGGTGATTTTTTATTTACTGACAGCAGGAGAAAAAGTGAAAAAGGATACTGAAATTTTGACAAGAGTGTGGAAAATAAATGGAGGGAAGGGGAGAGGCAACGATGTGGTGAGCTTGAGCAATACACAAAAACACAAAACAGATGAAGCGATAAATTTGGTGCACAGCCAGTAAAAGGCAAGGCTGCCTTAGTTTTGTCAAGTTCCTCTCCTGGGGTTTAAGGGTTGAGTTTAAACACACGCACGGTCGTGCCTCGTCGACTTCAGAGGACACTGCAGCTCCTGGAGACTTGGCCGCCGCTTGGCACTCTCTAATTGTAAACATAACTCTACATTGAACGACAGCAAATACTACCTTTTATCATCTGTGGTTTGGTATGAAGAATTTTTGAATTTTGAAGTCAAAGACTAACAAAGTATATGATAAGAAAACAAAATGAAAAAAAAAAAATGGGAGCTTCAGTCATACATAGTTCCACACGGTTTTTATGTCAATATAAACCCTGACAAAAATGTAATAAATCTAGGGTTTTCAAATAATTAAAGTTTTTAATCTGATTAATCACATGCTGTGGATAAACGGCTAATCATAATTATTAAATATTAGGGAAAAAAATCCCACAAGGGGGGGACAAAAAAGTTCTTTTCACACCTCAGGTTATAAATGTACACGTTTTTTACAGTGATGAGTAGAGCCAATCAGGGCAGTGCTGCAGTGGTATCAAGCTCTGTGTTAGGTCTGCGGGGACAGCGATCATCTGGGCAAAACATCAAATAAGAGAGCGGTTAATTTAGCCTCTCACCACATCCTGTGTCACATCAGAGCGCCGAACTCGATCGCACGCAAGTCTAATGTATTTCCAAGTAAAAAGTGCAGCCTTTATATAAAATGACGTGTCTTCTCGATAGTCCTTCAGATTGTGTTCTGCAGTATCGGTGCATTGACGGAGCTGTCCGTCCTCATTTCAGATGTCCTGATTAGACACGCGTAGACCAACACATATAGTGTATGCTCTTTCTGCACATATGCACAGAAGTGCAAACACGTTGATGTGCTGAGGGCTGGACTGCAGCCATTAGAATGAAACTGTGATCACACACACACAGACACACACACAGACACAGACACAGTCTTAATGAGAGCTACCGTGAAAATGTGGGACACTGGGACAAGGGTCTTTGAGGGGGCTGGAGACTGTAATTAAATACAATGGCTGGCTTCTGGAGCCCCGTCAGGCTGGAGCATGGGACAAAACAAAGACAGGCCTATGTGGACGGAGAGGCAGAGAGAACGCAGCTACTTAGCCCTTCAGCAGTCTTCACCCGGACATTATTCAATGCCAGATCGCATCCAAGCTCCGATCATCACCAGCTCTCATACAAGACTGTCTATTGTGTGATCCGCAAAATCATGATGCACAAACACTGGAAGAACTGACTCACACTAGCCTGGAGAGCTTTCCGCGATATCCTTGCAACATTTTAACACTGAGGAGTTGTTGTGTCGTGCGAGGTTTCCAGGCCAGAGTCCATCAGGCGAAAGCAAAAATCACCACAGTAACTAATACATAAGTTACTGCTCGAATATCACTGTCTTAGCCAAGTGCTTGGGAGAAAGAACAGGCTGTAACTCTGTGCTTTGTTTGGTGATTCAGCCACTGGAACAAAAAGGCCCGACAATGCTGGTACAATAAAAAACAATCAAGCCAAGAAAGCTGCTGTACTTATGTGAGGAGGTGAAACCCAAACCTGATAACCCATACGGTCTGTGACACTGTTGTTACCCTGACACAAGAGGCTGCAAACAAGTCTGCAGCCAGGTATGTTGTCAGACCAGTCCTGCCCCCAGGCCATCAGGTGTTACCAACCAAAACAAACCTGACACGCAGCAAAAACAGACCATCTCTAAAGTACGGCGATGAATTATGGCTGACCATAACAAGAAACACCCAGAACTATTTAGACGTGTACCTGCCTTGTCAGAGAGCGCTGTCGCTGTGTAAAACAGTGAGAGATGGAGTGATCCCATTCAGATCCAGTTTCCTGATGATTGTGAAACTCCGTTTTTCCTCAAACAACTCCAAATGATCATTATGAGTATTTAACAAGATCAACCACTCCCTTATGTGAAACAGCTGTTCCCATACAACTCAGTCATTATTTAAAGAAACAGTACAAGTTCAGACAATTACCCACATTTTTCCCAGAATTCCCACAATGGGAATATTGTGACTTTCTGGTTAAGTTTCCTGATCTACTAGTATGGGCTTGTTTTGATATTTTGAGGACATAAAGAGCAGTCCATTTTTCTCATGTAGTCATGGACTTCTGTCAGCTTTATGTTGAAATCAAACCAGGTTCTCTTTAATGTAGACTGGATGTTATTAAGCTTCTGGATACAACACGTTTTCAGTGATATATACTAATTTGAATAGTGTCGAAGCCTTGGGATTTGATTTATTTTAATTTCCCCTTTCATAAGCATAATCACATAAAAGCATAATAAACACTGTGTATGTGTAAGTGTGCGTATATGTGTGTGCATGTGTGTTTGTAGCCTACAGATATCTTAATAGCTTAATGTAGCGTGGTGGTTCTCAAACTCCGTGGCAAAGCACCGGTGATT